CCTGCGGAGAGGCGTAGGGCAGGCTGTTAGGACCGATGGGTAGATGGGCGGCCGACAGGCCCAGGAGACCTGCCCCAGAGCCGAGGGGTGAGGCGCAGACTGCCTGTGGCATGAGGCGAACCTGCTCCAGGTGTGGTGCGGGACTCGGACCTGGCAGTGCTGATGGACCCGAGGGCTCAAAAAACCAACTACGAGGTCCAGAAACGTCAGCATGGATTCAAGAGGATGATCGGGTACATCTTGTGACACAGTTGAAAAAATGTCTCTGAAACTTGAGGCAGAAGACACCTTCTGCACACGGCATCCCTCGGAGGCCCTCCTTGCCCTATGGCTCACGAGCCAGGATGAGGCTGTTTGAGGTGAGGCACCATGGCAGGAGAAGCACTCTCCTGGCTGGGCCTTTGGCTGGAGAAATCAAGTGTTGGGGGGAATCAAATTGTGTTGTGTCTTCAGGCCTTTAACTCTCCTTCAAATGTGGAGTCTCTCTTCTGCTCTGCCACCTCTGCTGTTAAAAATGTCCCTCACAGACAGAGGGGCAATACTGAATTATGGAAATGTAAGCGTGACTTTCAGAAAAAGGAAAAGACTGTTTCTGTGTCTAAATTAGCAAATTATCCACACCACCATATTAACGGTGCAGGGGGGGAATATCAGCATAGATCTGTACACTTAACATCTTTTTAAATTCCAAGATTTGTATTTTAAAAGGCATTTAATAGGAGATTATGATGCCTGTATGTAGATAAACCGTATCTGGGTCATGATATTAATAGAAAAATGAGCAATCAGACAATATCGCCCATCCAAGACACAACTTGTGTATTTTACAGTTTGGGCATTGGGAAAAATTAGTTGTAGAGCCACAGATGTTACAAATCTCCACCTTCTGTCACAAAATACGTGTCAGTACCGTGGCTGGAGTAAGATCAAAAAAGCCTGGTAAAATTTGTATGATCCTGACTGGAAGGTTGGTGAGTTTAAAAAAACAAAACAAAACAAAAAAACCCCACCTCACAGAACACACATGCACAAAAAAAAAAAAAAAAAAAAAAAAAAAAGGTGCCACAGGGAAGATTATACTAATAAATCCCAAAGTAAGGCAATTCATTTGTGAAGCACCATGGGATTGATGTGAACAGACTGGAAATCACAACTTCAGGGCTAAAAAACAAAACAAAACAAAAAAACCCCACCTCACAGAACACACATGCACAAAAAAAAAAAAAAAAAAAAAGCCTAACACCTTTTTGTTCTCATTTAGTTATTTGATATTTTGATTCCATAGGAATATACTTCTGTATGGCCTATTGCAACATTTTTGACCTTTTGTCCTAAACTCTTTTGGAAAAAATGTTTGGATACTTCTTGATTCCTGAACAATCAAATGCTGATTATTTTATTTGTTCATATAGAGCAAAATCCCATTTATCTGTACCCCTTTGATCTAAAACTCCTTTGAATCTAGGTTATGTCCCCCTGGTGTGAATTACTTATACAATAACTCCCTCAATTATTTGAAGCCCTGTTTATCCAAATGTTTTGATGTTCCCAATGTATTTTGAATAAACAGGGTTCTGCTGTCATTGGATATATCAGAGATCTTTGGGGATGCATATAGGATGATTTCCCCTGACCTTATTCTGTATCATCTTGTGCTTAAATGATCAGGCAGTGTAAACTTAAGTGTGTAGTTAGTGTACTGGCACCATCTTCAGTGCTTTTACTTCTTTCCCCATTAATTATTTTTCTTTCATTATTCTTATTAAAGGACTAAATCCCAGAAATTTCACTCAGGAATGACTCAACACAGATGCCAGCAAATGTTTTGCTTGAGTAAGGAGTGAATAAAAAAAGTCGTGATCTAGAATTCTGCTCAGTTTTATCATACTTCTGAAACAAAGTAGAGCAAAATTATTTGCATTTTCCATGCACTCCCATTGATGCTAGCTTGTGTCTAATGAAAGTCCTTATGTTCATTTGTTTTCTTAGATGCTTGCCATTGCCTTTCTTCTTAATCCCGTGAGAATCTTGAGGGTTGAGATGGATCACGAAATGATGCAAGAAGCTAGAGGAAAAATCATGTTCATGAGGACATTTTATTCAATATTTTTCACTTGTTCAGTTGAAAGTATTTGTGGAGTTAATAATAAAAAACAAAATGGAAGTGTAAGGCTTCCAAGAAAAGGCACTAATAAGTTTGTGTAATTGGGATAGAATGAATCAATAGTCTTCTCATGGTAAGAAGAATTCACATAAACTAGGAGTTTGTCTCCAGTTGGAATAACCTAATAGCTAATATGAATGATAAGGACATATTAAACAAGACAAAAATGTTCAGCAATGTCAGGATCCACTATCATATCCTGAATTACATGTTCCATCCACATACCTACGGACATGTGACACCCCTTTAATAAGTGGTATTGGGAATAAGATATTTTGGGAATTAACCTCATTGTATAGATACTCCATAATAAACTGAGCCAGGTATTTGAGGGACATTTAGGCATCAACACTGTAGACAAACTGATAAAACCCATATTGAGTATAATGATACCAATCTGCAACACCTCCAAACAGATGCTAACAGTCTAAAACTGAGAATTTGTCCCCTTTGTGTTAGCTATCTACCATCTTCCAAAGAAGCTGAGGTACACCCTAAGTAAAGAAAGGGTGGGATTTCGGTGAGTGGATGGTGTTTCAAATTCTTAGAACACCCTCAGGGTTCAGACACTTTTTCTACTAGCCATCAGTGGTAAGGAACTTGAACTAATTAACACTGGTTACTAGAAGACAGTGCTTCCACAAAGACTCCCACATTAGCAGCTCCTAAACTGGTCCACATCGCTCAGCAGAGCTATACCATGACAGTATTTAGATAGACACTTTGGAGATTTTTCTGTTTTCTGATTTTTTTTCTGTTATTATTATTAATTTAGATATTATTATTAGGATCCTTGGCTTTCTATTCTATTGGTACTATTCTATTCCAGTTCCATTGGTACTACTCTAGTACCTCATTTTTAAGA